TACAGCTAGCATAGCTTACATACACACGTGCACACGCTGTCTCGAAAGCATCAACTCTATCATGCAGCGCCTTTGTGTCCAACGCACCCCTGATGAGACCACGCGTTCGCCGGAGGTGGAGCGAAGAAAGAGAGATGCCATGTCATCGAAGACGATGAAACAAGGGCTGTTGCGACGCGCTTCCTCAAACACGCCGTGGATCTGTCGCTCAGACTCGCCAACCTGACACATACGCACCCACGTAAGCAGGCACCCTGACACGTCAAGCACACATAGTGGAGCACACACACACACACACGTAGATGTAGGCACAAACACGTGCACCCACAGCCACGCACACACACACACACACACGCGCACATACACCCGCGCACACGTGCACACATACACACGACTGCAATGGTGTGCCGCACCTCTCCCTTGACGATGTGCGCGAGGGAGGGGCTGATGGTGTTGACGCCGAGGACAGCTCCGATGTTGCGGCAGAGCAGTGATTTTCCACAGCCGGGTGGCCCCGTGATGGTCACCGCGACAGGTGGCGGCACGCGCAGAGGGCTCCTGCATGCAATTCCGGGAGGGAGGTTGATGTGATAGAGTGTGAGATTGGTGTGTTTGTTTGTTTGTTTGTTTGTTTGTTTGTTTGTTTGTTTGTTGTTTGTTTGTTTGTTTGTTTGTTTGTTTGTTTGTTTGTTTGTTTGTTTGTTTGTTTGTTTGTTTGTTTGTTTGTTTGTTTGTTTGTTTGTTTGTTTGTTTGTTTGTTTGTTTGTTTGTTTGTTTGTTTGTTTGTTTGTTTGTTTGTTTGTTTGTTTGTTTGTTTGTTTGTTTGTTTGTTTGTTTGTTTGTTTGTTTGTGTGTGTGTGTCATGCATGTGCTGCTCTGTGCATCATAAGCATGCTTTGCCATGGCGGTAGTTGAGTGGCACCACCCACCCGTCCTGCTGCAGAAAATATGCAAAGTCGCGACGAAGGGCCGCCAGCACATCATCCATCCCGACCAGCGCCTTCAACGCCGCGCTCTGGTGTCACATGGTGTTGCGCAGATGAAAAGAGAGAGAGGGGGGGGAGACAGGTGAAAAGGGCGGTTCGCAGAGCTCGTGTTCAGGCACGCGCAAATGCACAGTTGCACGTGCACACAAACAAACATTCTGCACGCTCACACACATGTACACAGGTACGCTTACAGCTGTGAGTCGCGAGGCCACGACGTGCAGGCGGACAGCGTTGAGAGCCGATGCAAGCGCCGACAACTCATCATCGTCATCATCATCATCGTCTTCGTCACCAACATCACCACCACCGTTACCATCAGCTTTGGTGCCGTTGTTGTGGGCCTTTTCTTGCGCGTACCACCTGTGTGGTCGAGAGAAGTGCAGGTCATCATCAGCGTGTGTGCACGAGAAACCCAAGCCACACCGACCCACGCACCACACACTACATCGTCACCACCACCACTGCCTCATCATCATCATCACCTGCGACAGGCGCGGGCTGCTGTCTCGAGCTGCACCATCGTGCACCCGTTGGTCGCGGCAGACACTGCTGCCAGCACGCGCGCAGGAAACGCATCACTGCCACCACGCTCCAGCCGTGCAGTCTGCAACATTGTGAGGGGCGTCGACGCAGTCGGACATACACACACATGCACACAGAGCAGGGAGAGAGAGAGAGAGAGAGAGAGAGCAGAGCGCACATGAACACACATGCACACACACACACACGCACGCACGCACGCACCAAGAGGGCAGAGCGCTGATCACGCGACGGTTTCGTGACATCGAGGACGAGGTCAAACTCATCGCGTACAAACTCGTGTACGGCCCTGCAATGAGAGCAGACGAGAGAGAAGGGGGTTGGTTGGTTGGTTGGTGTCGTGCGTGCGTGCTTTTGAGATACACCAGCCGACACACACGCACACACACGCACACACACGCACACACACACACATCTGCATACCTGTGTGCTGCTGTTTGCGCGCAGACGAGTACACCATGTGCTGGTTCAGATAGGATGGATCGGAGCAAGTCCATCTCGTGCGCTGTTTCAGCTTCCTACGCGTGCACACACACACACACACACACACACACACACACACACACACACACACACACACACACACACACACACAGATTCATGCAAACAAACACACAAGCGTGGTGGGTGCAAGGTATTGAAGACAGAAGCGAGAAGAAGCATGCGCGCTTGAGCTCGTCGCAACAACAGCAACAGCAGCAGCAACAGCAGCAACAGCAGCAACAGCAGCAACGGCAACAGCAGCAACAGTAGCAACAACAAAGGTGTGCGCACAATGTCCTTTTGGTGCGGGAAGAGGAGATCGAGGTCTGGAAGCCAGAGAACACACGGCGCGCTGTGACACGCCAGCTTGTGTGCATGTGTCAGCGACCCCACGGAGAGGTGCTCAAACTCATGGATGTCCACAACAGCAAGGCCTGTGAGTTCAACGAGGGCGAGAGGGGGGAGTTTGTGAGAAGCGTCGACCCAACGAGCATGGTCAAAGGACATGGTCCTGCTGAACCAAACCACTGGCGGCTGGCCAGCACTCGCAAGTGCACACACACACACAGTCATATACGCACACATCAACGCACGGGCACTTTGAGCGCCAACCTAGACTGTGGCATACGGCGAGGGTAAGCTCGGGTTCATAATTGGCACCTGTGCCAGAGACGAGCACGCTGTGCATTGAGGGTTGTTCGCCCACCTCTGCCCAAGGCGTTAACAACACGTGCTTGAGCACGGTTTGTAGGTCTTGAAACACCTGCAAACGTTGTAAGTTTGGCGGAGTGCGAACAGCAAGGCATCAAGGCACACATGTGTGTGAATGCCCGAACGAACAAGTGCATGCACAAGAGCAGGTATGCACAACGGGGGGGGGGGTTCCCAACATACACACGTAGCGCATGCAACGCACACATATGCACAGACACAGACACACACACGCACATATGCACACACACGCACACATATGCACACACACATTCACGCACACACACACGCAAGCACACACACGCACACGCAAGCGTACACCCACAACTACTCACGGGGCCAAAGACGAGTGGAGCGGCATCATCCAGAGGGGAGACGGGGCGCGTCGGGATGAGGGGTGCCACATGCTCTTGAAATACGGCATCGGGCAAGCTACGCAGGCTGTGGTGACACGGGTGTATTCTGTGGTATGTGCGGACACTGTGCATTGTTCGCGCTTGCAGCGCAATGCTACCCTGCACCACTGAGGTCTTTGGTACTGCTGCTACTGGTGCTACTACATGTCCCTTGCCGCCCTCATCCCCTTCATCGCCATCATCACCTGCTGCTGTCGTGGCAGCTGTCGTGGCTGCTGGTGCTGCTGTGAGGGCGAGCAGGTATCGCCGTGTTCCAAGAAACGGGTCTGGCAGTGACACCACGTCACCGTGTTGCACCACTCGGTTCTCCAATTGCTGCCTCGCCACCTTCACCGGCACCGGCACCAGTGTCTCGTCCACTGCAAACACATGCACGGCCACCATCTCCGTCATCATCATCCTCTTCGTGCTGTGCTCGATTGTAGAATTTTCTCCAATGTTTTCAGTGAATAGTCGATGGAAGAAGGACTCTGAGCGATGTGGCGATGGCGATGCTGAAGGAGTTCAAGGGGGGGCGAATGTCAACTATGAGTGGCATGTCTCGCTTGCGAGCAAATACCATGCCTTTCCATCGGCGCTCTCCCATTCGCTCCTCTCCCCTTGCCGGTCTTCTTGCCTCTGTCTCAGCCTGCTTTATTCACCCATCGCCGTCGCCATCCAATACGGCCCCCCCCCACACACACACACCTCCTCAGCCCAATAGCGGCACGCGCACCTCTCTTCGTGGTCTGATCCTCCGCCATCTCGACGCACACACCCTTGCACAGTCAAACACACACGCACACGTACGCACACGTACGCACACATACACAGGTACGTTGACGTACGGCCACAATTTGTTTGAGCTGTATCGCCCAAGATGCCGTCGCCTCGATCACGGCTGTTGGCGTTATGCCTTCTTCTAGGCTGCCTGAATTGGCCACCATCCACTCTCGCCCAAGGTACGTTTGAATCTGAAAGCGCATACGTCCACACACACACACACACACACACACACACACACACACACACGCACGCACGCACGCAGATACACTGGAAGCCCTTGCATGCTGGCGGCCTTGACTCTTGCTTGCTTGCTTGCTTGCTTGCTGCTCTTGTGCCGCACGTCCTGTCGCATGGCTTCTCACCATTGGGTCTTGAACTTGTACAGGGTGCACCGGTACGCAGGACTGTGGGAACGACATGTACTGTTCTGTCCTTGGCAACTGCTATCCGTGCGGTGAATGCTTCTTCTACGACGACGCCGTTGGAGGCGAGTGCCCGGAACACTGTCTCGAGGCCACCACCTGCTTTGTCACGTCGCAGTGCCCGCGAGGGTACTACTGCAATGCCATGAACACCTGCGCCTTTTGCGGCTCCGACTGCTGGAACGGTGACCCATCCATGTGAGTATCATCACCAAAGACCGCGTGTGTGTGTGTGTGTGTGTGTGTGTGTGTGTGTGTGTGTGTGTGCATGTGTGTGTGCGCGCGTGTGTGTGTGTGTCTCATTCTGTTGTTGTTTGCACATCACTTGTCATGGTGACATGAACGTTGGCACCAGTGCCAATTTCTCAATGAATACCGCTCACCCTCATGCTGCTCATGCTGCATCACCATCCCTTATTCAACAGCGAGCAATTGAGATGTGAGGTCATCTGTGCGCAGCCGCCGCCGGATAATGGCTACTACCTGTGTGACAGCCACGACGACTGCAGTGCCGACACGTATTGCGACGCAAACAACAACTGTTACACTTGCGACGAATGCTTCAAGTGCGGTCCGCATGTGTGTGTGTGTGTATGTGTATGTGTGTTTGTGTCAGTCAGTCAATCAGTGAACCAGTCAATACGCCTGCCTTGTCTGCGTGACACCTGTGTGCTTGCGTGACGCCTGCATTTGTATGCCTGCGTCCCCACACTTGCCTTCCTCGCCACTCTTTGATATCGTACACGCTCATCTTCCATCTACGCTCCACGCCATGACAGCTACAACGACCCGTACGATGGGACGGGCCGCTGCCCAGAAAAGTGCCGCACAGATGGGCTGCAGTGCGAGGCAGACTACCACTGCCGCCCAACGCAGTTCTGCACACGCACAAACGCCTGCCACGATTGCAGCACCTGCGACGACTCCATGCTCACGTACGCAGACACTCGAACACATGTCAAGACCTGTGTGTATGTGTATCTGTATGTGTAAGAATGTGTGTGTGTGTGTCCATCTGTGTGTCCATGTGTGTGTGTGTGTGTGTGTGTTTGAAGGAAAGGAGGGCTGTCTCATGAACACAACTTACATGTCGATGCTCACTCCCCCACTTACCCGATGCAACACACACATACACACCATAAACACATGTGCATAAACACAAACACACAAAAACACACCCCATCAATTCATCAGGTTTGGCGTTACATGCGAGGACGTGTGCGAAATGACCACGCAACCACCACCATCATCCTCTTCAGCTTCAACCGTCATGTCAACACCAACACCGTCGCCATCCAGCCCAGCGTCAACACGCATCACCTCCACTACCATCGATACCACCACCCTCCCAGTCAGCAGCACAAGCAGCAGCAGCAGCAGCAGCAGCACGAGCACCTCCTCAAGCACAAGCACAAGTACAAGCAGCAGCTCAAGCACAAGTTCGTCTACATCATCCAGCAGTACCACGTCCAGCAGCACCAGCACCAGTAGCAGCTCAGATGACAAGATGAGTGGTCCCGCTGCGCCGCTGTGCTGCCTATATGCGGACGTGAGTGGTGCCACGGGCCTGCTGTGGGCACCGGCTGCGTGCGGTTTGCATGTACAGGCCTGTCCAGGCAGTCTCGGAGACGTCACGCGGGAGTGCACCATCAACGGATGGGCCGATGACGAAGACACATCCACGTGTCTGCATCTGACGCTGGCAAACATTGTGCAGAACTTGCTTAAGGCAGACTCGATCACCCTCCAGACAGTGCTCGAATTTCTCGAGCAAGCGCGAGCCCTCGGTACGCACTCCTTCAAGCGCGTGTATGGTTGTATGGTTATGTGTGTTTGTTTGTTTGTTTGTTTGTTTGTTTGTTTGTTTGTGTTTGTTTGTTTGTTTGTGTTTGTTTGTTTGTTTGTTTGTTTGTTTGTTTGTTTGTTTGCTTGTGCTTGTTTGTTTGCTTGTGCTTGTTTGTTTGTGTGCTTGTGCGCATGGGAGAGAGTACCATGTTAGTTGTATGAAATGGCCCAGATATGTTTTGTCGTCGTGTCGCGCATGCCTTGCCCATCACCAGCTCACCAACAACGGCAACCGCTCCCGTGCATGCATCATGTCACTGCAACGTCACACCGCATCTGCAGTCCTCAAGCCGGCTGCGCTTGGCTCCATCGACTGGGAAAACATCATCTTTGGATCGTCACACATTGCGGCGAACGTGGGAGGCCTCTCGCCTGCTGATCACCACCGCTTCCTGGACGTTTTGGATGGCCTGCTCACCGCAACCGCAGCAGGTGCTGGGCAGAAACGAACACGCACAACCTGTACAACATGTGCGGCTTCATCACAACCAAACCCACACACACAGAATCCGACGCACACGCACACATGTGCATGCACACACAACACACAACACACATCACACATCACACACACACACACACACACAATCAAACACCCTCCCCCTCCCCCCCCCCCCCACACACACACACAAAATCAGACACACACACACACATGCACGCACACTACCTTGTCTGTTGTGAACCCCCAACTGAATTCGTGTTTCCGTTGTCACCAATCCTCCTTGCAGACACCGTGAATGCCGGCGCCATCAATGCAACAGCAACACTGCGCGCAACGCTTCTCGATGCATTTGATGCCGCATGTGCAGATGCGCTCACATACTCCAACGGCACATTCGACCACACAACCGTCCTCTTTGCCCACCGCACGCAACACATTGTGCTTGAGTGCCACATTGTTGCGCTCAACCAAGATGGCGATGTGCTGTGGCAGCCAAGCTACCCCACTGCAGAGCCATTCCTCCGCCTTCCCTCCCATTTCCTCTCCGATCTCCACACGCACGTCAGGCGCTACTCGGCCTCGTCCAGCGCCTTCTCCACATCATTCCGCTCCTACTCGCGGTCCAGCAGCAACAGCCTTGCGTCCGGCACATCACCATCGGGCGTTACATCTGTCCTACTGCAGCTCACATCGCTGCCGTCATCAGCATTCATCTCCCGCCGCGTCAACACATCCCTCCCCGTGCTCGGTGTCAAGGTGCCTGGTCTTGCTTCAGACTTTACGCGTGGCGACGGGGTTGCGTTTAAGGTGACTGGCCAGGCCGCAGCTCAGCCTGCCCGCGCCGTGTGCGCCTGGTGGTCGGAGGACAAGTGGTCCACTCTTGGCTGTGACACCACCATCGACATTGACAACACCATTCTCTGCAACTGCGAGGTGAGCCAGCAACACGTCACAGTTGCTTGTTCGGTATGCATGTGTGCATGTGTCTGCGAGTGTGTGCTTGTGCATGTGTTTATGTGTCTGCGAGTGTGTGTATATGTGCATGTGTGTGTGTGTGTGTGTAAGTTCCCAGCATCAATTGTATTTCGCGCGGTATCATCGTACATCATTCACTTGCTGACACGCCCACATGGACCCGTGTGCTCGTCAGTCCTTGGGCATGTATGGTGTGCTGGCAACATCAAACGTGGAGGTTCACGCACAGGTGGACGCATCCACCAACGATGCACTTGTGCCGGATCTGTGGACGTTTGTGTTCCTTTCCCTCGCCCTCGTCATGAACATCAGCGTCCTCGCTGCTTTCTTGTTTGTTCGCGTAAGTTTGCCGCACAATGTCACGTGTGTGTGTGTGTGTGTGTGTGTGTGTGTGTGTGTGTGTGTGTGTGTGTGTGTGTGTGTGTGCCTGTGTGTGTGTGCCTGTGCATATGTGTCTGTCTGTGTGCCTGTGTGCCTGCGTGCCTGTGGTTCTGTGCTTTCAACTCCCATTGGATTGTGTTGCGGTTTCCTTGTTTACCAACGTGTCACACAACTGTCGTGTTTGTTCTCAATGTGCAGAAATACTCGGATTCGCCTCGCCGCTTCATTGCAGTGCAAGTCACCATCTCCCAACTCGTCCTCACCGTAAGCCTTGAACACTAACACCACCACCACCACCAGCAGCAGCACCACCACCACCACCACCACGCCTTGCATCTATGTTCCGCTCCAGTCCACACCCCTGCCTACGTCTCATGTCTCTATGGTTTTGCTCGTGCCAGATTGCCGTGCTCGCTGCTATCACCAAGGCCTTCAACGGCGCGTGCTCCTTCTTTGGGCCAGCGGTTCTGGTACGCTGCTTTCAGAGGGAGAGCACTGTGTAGGGTTCACGTGAAGTGTGTTTATGGGATCTGTCATCCCGCCACAACACGCTCACTTACACGCACTGCAATGCAATGCATTGTTGAACCGCGTTTCTAACGCCCGTCTCGCTCCCACCATTCACCTGCTCCGTCTGATTCCAGTGTGCATTCTTCACGCAGTTTGTGTGGCAAGTGGTTGCACTCCGCTTCGTGTACATTGTGGGTGGCCTTCGCTCCAACGGCTCAGCGCCCAGCAGCACAAGCATGCTCACCACGGGCTGGGGCCCAGGCTTGCTGCTCCTCATCATCTTCGTTGCCATTGAATACGGCACAGGCGGTTCCGTCGACCAGGTGCGCTTGCATGAACACATGTGTGTGTGCGCGCGCACGTGTGTGTGCGTGTGTGCGTGTGTGTGTGTGTGTGTGTGTGTGTGTGTGTGTGTGTGTGTGCGCGCGCGCACGTGTGTGTGCGTGTGTGCGCGTGTGTGTGTGTGTGTGTGTGTGTGTGTGTGTGTGTGTGTGTGTGTGTGTGTGTGTGTGTGTGTGTACGTGTGTATGCGTGTGTGTGTGTGTACGCGTGTGTATGCGTGTGTGTGTGTGTGCACGTGTGTATGCGTGCACGTGTGTATGCGTGTGTGTGTGCACGTGTGTATGCGTGTGTGTGTGTGTGTGTGTGCACGTGTGTATGCGTGTGCGGGTATGCTGAATTGCTTGACCTCATCTGCGCCTGCCCCATTCACACCTTTTCTCGCGTACCACATCCCTCTGACCCTCACTCACATGCATTCATACGCAAACTCGCATACGCAACCACACACGTACTCGTCACCGCTGCCACCTTGAACCCCATTCAGTCGATTGGCGACCATGTGTGCTGGCTCAAGGGCTCATTGGTGCTTGGGCTTGCTCACCTGCCCACCACCATCGTGTTGGTGACGTGCCTGGGCTTCCTTGTCGCCATGTGGCTGCTGGATGGAACGCTGTACGACCCGGCTCGAAACCTCACGTCGCTCAAGCCAAGCATCTGGCCCTCCTTCGCTTACTTCTGCCTCACCACCCTCACCTGGGTGCGTTTCTTCTTCTCTGATGGCGCAATAAAATGTTTGCGACAGTGGCAATTGGGCGCTGCTTGTTTTGATCGGGTGTGCTTGTTCGCTTGTTTGGATTGAGAGTGCTTTGTTTGTGTTTGTTTGTTTGTGTTTGTTTGCTGTGCTCTCGTAACGTGCTCGTTGAAACATGCACCACTGCACCAACGCAGGTGACGATGCTGTGGGCATTCGAAGCGCAACAGGAGAATGCGTTGACGCTCATGGCATTCATCTGGCTGCTGACCAGCGTCTTCTTCACTGTGATGCAACTCACCGTCGCAAAGAACGGTACGCGTGCATATGTGTTGCTGTGGATCCATGCGCGTACCACTGCCTGCCTGCCACACACACACACACACACACACATACACACACACACACACGTATGTGGCCCTGCAACACTTGTATGCCTTCATTGACCACAATGCTGCAACAGGTGCTACAAGCACACGTGTCATGTGACGCAATAGTGCATGATACACCGAGTGTGTGCGCGTATGCATCGCTCACGCTGGCTTCTCATCCCCCACAACCTGCGTGACTCTGTGCCTGATGTTGCTCTTCACAGAGCTGACCCAACACAAGGACGTTGAGTTTGTGAGCGTGAGCCACGAGCGGGAGATGCGGCGATCGCAGAAGCTGGCGGCGCTGGAATCGCGGGCAGACCAGGTGTACAGGCAGCAGCTGGTGAGGGAGGCTGTCAGGGAACGCTACCTCGGCGTGCACAACTACAGTCGTGCAGACCTCTTTGCGTGCATTTACATGCAAGTTGGCTGAGCGTGAATGAACTTTGTTGCTGTGTGTGTGTGTGTGTGTGTGTGTGGGTGTGGGTGTGTGTGTGTGTGTGTGTGTGTGTGTGTGTGTGTGTGTGTGTGTGTGTGTGAGGCGGAGGGGAAATTGAGCGTGATGTATGTATGTGTATATGATGAAATGAAGAGTCGTGGTCGTAGAGTGGTGATGAAGTGATGCCGACGCCTTTGTTTATATCGGTGCATTGCATCATTTGTTGTGTACATGACATGTTGTGGTTTTGTTCACTTGCTTGCGTGCTGCTGACTGTATTTGCTGATGACACGATCGTAACAATGAACAAGCAGCCAGTGCCAAACACAGAGAACAAGAACGAAAGAAGGACATGGAAAGACGTACACGGTCAAGAAATGAAGCTAGCTGCTAGTGGTAGAGAACAAAGGGAGAGAGCACAGCAACAAAGACAGCACAAAGGAAGCTGTGCGAGCGAAGACACGTATGTTATGTGCATTGATACCGTGCACATGCGCGCGAGAGCACATCGCAGTGACAATGGTGCTGTACTTCAAGATGGGGTATGGCGGTCGCTCTTGCGGATACGGTGGTGCGGTAACTGCAGTGATAGGGATACATAAACGACGACAAGCGGAGTTAGGGGCAGACGCGTGTGAGCAAGCAAGCACACACACCCACACATACAACAGCAAGACGGTCTAGGTCATGATGAGTGCACGAGCGTCAAGTGACAGAAACTACCGCGGCGCCAGCATGACCATACCGAAACGAGGTGGTCGAGGTGCTGTGGGCGGTCTGGGTCGTGGCGCAGCTGATACAAGATCTGCATGATGGCATGTGCGTATGTTTGGTGTTGGGGGTGGAGGTTGGTGGCAACAAAGAGCAAGTACAAACAAGGCTCACACACAGACGCAGAGAGAGAGAGAGAGACAAACTCTCACACACACACACGCACGCACACGCACACGCATATCACATACATACGTGTATGATGGCGGATAATGTTGCTGATGACACGATCGTAACAATGAACAAGCAGCCAGTGCCAAACACAGAGAACAAGAACGAAAGAAGGACATGGAAAGACGTACACGGTCAAGAAATGAAGCTAGCTGCTAGTGGTAGAGAACAAAGGGAGAGAGCACAGCAACAAAGACAGCACAAAGGAAGCTGTGCGAGCGAAGACACGTATGTTATGTGCATTGATACCGTGCACATGCGCGCGAGAGCACATCGCAGTGACAATGGTGCTGTACTTCAAGATGGGGTATGGCGGTCGCTCTTGCGGATACGGTGGTGCGGTAACTGCAGTGATAGGGATACATAAACGACGACAAGCGGAGTTAGGGGCAGACGCGTGTGAGCAAGCAAGCACACACACCCACACATACAACAGCAAGACGGTCTAGGTCATGATGAGTGCACGAGCGTCAAGTGACAGAAACTACCGCGGCGCCAGCATGACCATACCGAAACGAGGTGGTCGAGGTGCTGTGGGCGGTCTGGGTCGTGGCGCAGCTGATACAAGATCTGCATGATGGCATGTGCGTATGTTTGGTGTTGGGGGTGGAGGTTGGTGGCAACAAAGAGCAAGTACAAACAAGGCTCACACACAGACGCAGAGAGAGAGAGAGAGACAAACTCTCACACACACACACGCACGCACACGCACACGCATATTCACATACATACATACGTACATACGTACATACGTACATACATACATACATACATACATACATACATACATACATACATACATACATACATACATACATACATACATACATACATACATACATACATACATACATACATACATACATACACAAGCCAACGCAAACCAAGCGCAAGCCATGTTAGTCTTATCATCAGCAACAGGGACGTACTTGTCTGGCAGTGGCGATGACTTTGGTGACATCGAGTGTGCCGGCGAGACGCGTGTAGAACTCGAGCACTTGATCAGGCGGGCGATCAGCAGCCATCAGCGCAGGCGCCGTCACCTTCAGCACAGCAGCAGCGACAAACACAGGAAAGTCGCGTGTGCGGTACTGGCTCCACATTAAGTCCCACAGCATCATCGTCTGGCAGAGGGGTGAGGTTGGGCGGGGACGGCATGGATGTGGGGTGGTGAGACGCAATTAAGGATGGCGAGGGTATGCATGTTGACGAACTGTTAAAACTGCACCAAAACAA